GACATCATTTCCTGTGCTTTTCCCAATCCTCACTGTTTTTCTAAGATAGGATGAAGCTAAGTTTAACTTCAAATTTTAAAGCAACTATACACCTTTTCCTGACCTACTTAGAATATTATTCAAAGTTTTCACTAAATCATTTTTTTCTTTGTATACTTATAGACGGCTTTTTAGTTAAAAAAGCATTTTGGCTGAGACGTTTTAATGGAATCATAAGAGCCTAAAATAACTGTTTTAATCACTTTCCGGGGTTGCTTGATTTCATTACTGCAACAAAGGAGTTATTTCTGCTTTCATACATGGGGAAACAAAGATAAAAATATTTTTAATAGCAACCTACTTAGTAGGGCTGTATAAGTGCTTCGGACACAATGGACAACTTCTAAGTCTCAGTTTGGTCTTTGGGCATAGCTTTTGATGTCATCATCAGGCAGCATGAGTTAGTTAAATAAAAATTAATTTAGCACAGTTTTATACAGCACTTACTTATAACCAAGGTGCTACTCTAGGCACGTAAGGGAATATTGCATAATTAATGCTCATGACACTCCCCACTCCTAAGAAGTTTTTAAACAAATGGGGTGTGGCAAAATAAGTAAAAATAGGCTGGATTATGTAATATATGCTTCAAAAGAGAAACATAATTGGAAAGGAGAAAGGGCTCACATTTGGTTTGAGAGGTATCAGAAAAGGTCAATGGAAAGAAGCAATATTTGAAATGGATTTTGGAGATAGATAGGATTTCAGGTTTTGGGGGAGAGCTGTGTGTATGTTGTGTTGGGGTTTAGGGGTTAGGGGCAAGGAGACACAGAGGCAGGTAAGGGAGGGGGTTCTACAGAGGGACTAGGACAAGGCAAGTGCCGGGTTTTTTGCATGACACATAGTAGGCAGTCAGAAATGTTTGTGAGTGAATGAATGACTGATAAGTAGATCAGGAGATGGAGTCATAGGACATAGTAGGCATGTGCCAAGGAGCCCCGAAAGACACCTGAGGCTATGCTGAGGGGGCCGTGAATGCTGAGAGATGGAGGTGGCTCTAGTTCAGTAGAAACAGGCCTTTGATGTTGTTTCAGTGTGTGGCATGTTCTTGAAAAGGCATTTAACTTTCAACTTGACTTAACTTCTTTGTGCTGTAAAAGGGCATAGAAGATATCGGGTTCTGCACTTTCCTTCCCTGTTGTCAGGCTGAGATTTGTGTAGCTCCTTATAAAAATTGTTCCTTTCTCCTGAAGTCAAGTAGCACTTTTCAATACCATGGCTGAGGATTCCTAATAAGGGGTAATGGACAGGGTGGCTGTTGGGAGGAATCTTCTGTTTGCTCTGGAGAGAGGATTTGGCCCCTGTGCTTCAGAAAGAGTGAGCATAAACAGCAGATTTCTGCTTTTGTGTAGAAAGAAGATATTCTCTTCTCCTTAGCTAAAATTATTGAAACTTTTTCTCTGAGAATTTACTCCCACAACTTGGAAGACCAGACAGAATAAGCCAAACTCCAAAGCCCAACCCTGGCCTCCGTGTGTAAGCAGGTATCAACAAGGATTAGTGGTTAATTCAATCAAGCTTTGCAATAGGAAATAGCCTAGGATTTTGAAAGTGCTATTAGCATTCCTAAATTACTGACCTAGAGACAGCCTGAACACTGGAGAAATGAGAGCACTTGCCTGCGCTGTTGTCATTGCTCACTATGAGCCCGTGGCTGTCTTTTACTCCAGCCTCTCTGAGTGTCTCATTGTCTAGGGTCTAAGGCTGTCAGTCCATGGTCTTTCTGCTCTGGGCCCTCAAATGTACACTTCTGTAGGTGAAAATGAGTATCTTACTTAGTTTGAGGTTACAGTTTAAACAAGCAGCTCTTTCTCAGGCAAATCCAGCTGTCCCTGTCATCAGGCAGTCTTGTTATTAAATGCCTTTGTCGGCATTTTCTTGTTTCTCTATTCTGCCTCTAAAATTTCTTTTAACAAAATTCTGTGGAATTTGCTACTCTTTTTTTTTTCTTTCTTTCTTTTTTAAATTATACTTTAAGTTCTAGGGTATGTGTGCACAATGTGCAGGTTTGTTACATATGTATACATGTGCCATGTTGGTGTGCTGCACCCACTAACTCGTCATTTACATTAGGTATATCTCCTAATACTATCCCTCCCCTCTACCCCTCCCCACAATAGGACCCGGTGTGTGATGATCCCCTTCCTGTGTCCAAGTGATCTCATTGTTCAATTCCCACGTATGAGTGAGAACATGTGGTATTTGGTTTTCTGTTCTTGCGATAGTTTGCTGAGAATAATGGTTTCCAGCTGCATCCATGTCCCTACAAAGGACATGAACTCATCCTTTTTGATGGCTGCATAGTATTCCATGGTGTATATGTGCCACATTTTCTTAATCCAGTCTGTTGCTGATGGACATTTGGGTTGATTCCAAGTCTTTGCTCTTGTGAATAGTGCTGCAATAAACATACATGTGCATGTGTCTTTATAGCAGCATGACTTATAATCCTTTGGGTATATCCCCAGTAATGAGATGGCTGGGTCAAATGGTATTTCTAGTTCTAGATCCTTGAGGAATCGCCACACTGTTTTCCACAATGGTTGAACTAGTTTACAGTCCCACCAGCAGTGTAAAAGTGTTCCTATTTCTCCACATCCTCTCCAGCACCTGTTGTTTCCTGATTTTTTAACGATTGCCATTCTAACTGGTGTGAGATGGTATCTCAATGTGGTTTTGATTTGCATTTCTCTGATGGCAAGTGATGATGAGCATTTTTTCATGTGTCTGTTGGCTGTATGAATGTCTTCTTTTGAGAAATGTCTGTTCATATCCTTTGCCCACTTTTTGATGGGGTTGTTTGCTTTTTTCTTGTAAATTTGTTTGAGTTCTTTGTAGGTTCTGGATATTAGCCCTTTGTCAGATAAGTAGATTGCAAAAATTTTTTCCCATTCTGTAGGTTGCCTGTTCACTCTGATGGTAGTTTCTTTTGCTGTGCAGAAGCTCTTTAGTTAGATCCCATTTGTCAATTTTGGCTTTTGTTGCCATTGCTTTTGGTATTTTAGACATGAAGTCCTAGCCCATGCCTATATCCTGAATGGTATTACCTAGGTTTTCTTCTAAGATTTTTATGGTTTTAGGTCTAACGTGTAAGTCTCTAATCCATCTTGAATTAATTTTCGTATAAGGAGTAAGGAAAGGATCCAGTTTCAGCTTTCTACTTATGGCTAGCCAATTTTCCCAGCACCATTTATTAAATAGGGAATCCTTTCCCCATTTCTTGTTTTTGTCAGCTTTATCAAAGATCAGATGGCTATAGATGTGTGGTATTATTTCTGAGGGCTCTGTTCTGTTCCATTGGTCTATATCTCTGTTTTGGTACCAGTACCATGCTGTTTTGGTTACTGTAGCCTTGTAGTGTAGTTTGAAGTCAGGTAGCATGATGCCTCCAGCTTTGTTCTTTTGGCTTAGGATTGTCTTGGCAATGTGGGGTCTTTTTGGTCCCATATGAACTTTAAAGCAGTTTTTTCCAATTCTGTGAAGAAAGTCGTTGGTAGCTTAATGGGGATGGCATTGAATCTGTAAATTACCTTGGGCAATATGGTCATTTTCACAATATTGATTCTTCCTATCCATGAGCATGGTATATTCTTCCATTTGTTTGTGTCCTCTTTTATTTCACTGAGCAGTGGTTTGTAGTTCTCCTTGAAGAGGTCCTTTACATCCCTTGTAAGTTGGATTCCTAGGTATTTTATTCTCTTTGAAGCAATTGTGAATGGGAGTTCATTCATGATTTGGCTCTCTGTTTGTGTGTTACTGGTGTATAAGAATGCTTGTGATTTTTGCACATTGATTTTGTATCCTGAGACTTTGCTGAAGTTTCTTATCAGCTTAAGGAAATTTTGGGCTGAGACAATGGGGTTTTCTAAATATGCAATCATGTCATCTGCAAACAGGGACAATTTGACTTCTTCTTTTCTTAACTGAATACCCTTGATTTCTTTCTCTTTCCTGATTGCCCGAGCCAGAACTTCCAACACTATGTTGAATAGGAGTGGTGAGAGAGGGCATCCCTGTCTTGTGCCAGTTTTCAAGGGGAATGCTTCCAGTTTTTGCCCATTCCATATGACATTGGCTGTGGGTTTGTCATAAATAGCTCTTATTATTTTGAGATACGTTCCATCAATACTGAATTTATTGAGAGTTTTTAGCATGAAGGGCTGTTGAATTTTGTCAAAAGCCTTTTCTGCATCTATTGAGATAATCATGTGGTTTTTGTCTTTGGTTCTGTTTATATGCTGGAATTTGCTACTCTTAACTGTTCCCCTGCGCCACCTACCTGGGATTCTAAATCTTTTCACGGGAAAATTATTGCCATCATAATCTTGTCTCATATGGTTACTCAAGGCAATACTTTCTCGTTGGTATAAATTACAGAAATGGCATTGAGTTGTAAGTTCTGTTAAATTAAGGACGTCATTTAGCACTATTAAAGTGAATGCCAAAGAAACAATTGCATTGCATGGTAAATGATTTTTTTTGTTTTTTTCACGACGGAGTCTCACTCTGTCACTCAGGCTGGAATGCAAGGGTGCAATCTCGGCTCACTGCAATCTCCGCCTCACAGGTTCAAGCAGTTCTCTTGCCTCAACCTTTTGAGTGGCTGGGATTACAGGCATGTACCATTACCCCGGCTAATTTTTGTATTTTTAGTAGGGATAGGGTTTCACCATGTTGGCCAGGCTGGTCTCAAACTCCTGACCACAGGTGATCAGCCCGCCTTCGCCTTCCAAAGTGTTGTGATTACAGGCATGAGCCACCGTGCCTAGCCGGTAAGTGATTTTACTCACACAAATAATGATATGTTTAGCATTCTCAATTAGGTAATTATCGGGTAAAAATAGATGAATCCTGATAAACTATGTGATTTTCTCTTCAAATAACTACAAATCAACTCCTGCGAGCTGTTGCAATCTATGCATTTAAGTTGCAAAAGTGAATTCTTCTTCTTTTTTTTCAAGTACAACACTGCAATATTCGCTGTATGAATGGAGGTAGCTGCAGTGACGATCACTGTCTCTGCCAGAAAGGATACATAGGGACTCACTGTGGACAACGTAAGTACACCGTAGTTATAAGTATTCTAGGTTTTAACCTGTTTGTAGACAAGTAAAATAAAGAGATAAGTGCTGATAGATTTTCTTTGATTACCTGGGACACAGCATTTTTACAAGTGTCCAGTGACCTTTATAGATGAACAGATCACTTACTCAAAACACTTATCACCAAATTTCCAAATGGAACCTTGGTTGGTTACAGGTTGTTTGATTCATTTTCCTCTCATTTACCTTCACCACCCTGCTTGCCTGATCTCCTTGATTTCTAGTCACCACCAAAGGAGCAGAATTCTTGTTCATTCCAGACGCATATCTTCCACTTACTTGCTGAACTTCAGCACTTGGATTTTCAGGAAGCATCTCAAATAAAATATTCTAAAACTCAGCCTCGTCATTCTCTCTAAACATGTCCTTTCTCTTGATTAGTGGTATCTGCATCCCTCTCATTTCCCAATCTAGATGCTGCTAATGAAGTACTTATCACATGGTGTTCAGTTTGAAGGTTCGTTTGTACACACCACTTACTGTGTCTACTTTCTACTAGTCCCTGTGCTTTGCAGAAGATGAACATTCTTTTTAAAAACTTTTTTAAATTACTTTAAGATGAACATCATATATACCCTACAGAAAATTTGGAAAAGTTTAAAAACACAAAAAGTAAAATTATTCATGATTCTATCATTCTAGATACTATCTTCTAGACTTGTAATGCATATTTGGTACATTAATTCTTACTGTATGTATAGATTTTATGCCACTTTTTCACTTAATATTTTATTCAAAGTATACTCATGTTATTACACATTTTAAAATACATTTTAATGGTTGCCTAGTACTCCATTACATGGACGTTTGACTGTTTAATGAATCCTTAATGGTGAGCCTTATTCAGGGTGTTTCTAATTTTTGCTTTTGTGTATGTATTTGTTTAGGATTAATAATGTTATTATAAATAAACAAAAATGTAGAGAATGCCCTAGTGACCATCTGTGTTGGTCTGTTTTCATGCTGCTGATAAAGACATACCCAAGACTGGGCAATTTACAAAAGAAAGAGGTTTATTAGACTTACAGTTCGCCATGGCTGGGGAGGCTTCATAATCATGGTGGAAGGCAGGGAGCAACAAGTCACATCTTACCTGGATGGCAGCAGGCAAAAAAGAGCTTCTGTGGGAAAACTCCCCGTTATAATAACCGTCAGATCTTGTGAAACTTACTGTCATGGGAACAGCGTGGGAAAGAGACCTGCCCCCATGATTCAGTTACTTCCCACCTCCCACAACACATGAGAATTCAAGATGAGATTTGGGTGGTAACACAGCCAAACCATATCGCCATCCACTCATTGCAGTGGGAGAAGAATATTGGTTGAGTTTTGTGTAGCGCAACCTGGAGAGAGGAGAGGTAGGACAGGCTCCCCAGTGTGAGTGATCCTTGGGCTGAGTCTTGAGGGATGGGTAAGTGTTTACCTGTCAGGTGATGGGGAGTGGACCTTTTGGGCAGATGGTACAGCATGACCAAAGCACCGCCACAAGACACAGCAAGGGATGTGGGACATAGCAAGGGCTTTGGTGTTGCTAGAGCTAAAATGCAGAGGAGAGTGATGGGAAAGGAAGTAAGGTCAGATAGGATGTCATGGGCCAGGTTTTGATGCCTTTATACATACTATGTTTTCTTCCAAAGTAGGGCCAGGAAAGAGGAGTGAGACCACAACAATAAACAACACCAACAACATCAACAACATACATCTTTTGAGTTACTCTGTGCTTACTGTGTGCTAGGCACATTTTAGAACTCTATGTGTGTTAACTCATTTAATATGACAACAATCTTTGTGTTAGAGGCCATAAATGTTACCCTCTAGCAGATGAGGGAACTGGAACACAGGGTCCCCAGTAGTTCCTCTAAGGGTATATAGGTGGTAATAGGCAGAGTTGGGGTTGGAACCCAAACAGTGTGACTCCGTAGCCCATATGTTTACTGCTGTGAAATACCAACCTTATTACCCTTCACTTATGAAGGTTTACAGTGAGAAAGATCACAGTGTGGACGCACAGCTGGAGGAGGCCAAAACAGGAGCAGGAAGACAAGTCCTCCTTAAGGCTGTGGCTGTGGAGATGGCGAGATGGGGCTGGATCCAGTGGCATTCCAGGAGAATCAGGAGGGGCTGCTGGGCATCTCTCCTGCTCCGCTTGGTGCTCCCTGAGGGAGTTTAGCCCAATGCCCAACACACAAGTGCTTAATTAACACTGGCAGAATTAGAACATTTTTCCTAAACTTCAGCTTCCTCATCTGTAATCTGGGAGGGTTGGCTTAGGCAAGCTCAAACTTTGTTTTCTGTTTAGAAGCTCTTCATTCTCCCTGACTATAAATCAAGAGGCAAAGAAGACAATGGACTTACATAAACCTCTCTGATTATATGATGAGCAATGGCCTCCTGCCATAATTTTTGGTTAAAAAGGGTTGTGTCAGTTCGAGTCCTTTTATGCCAAGAAAATATCAAGACAGAATTAGACACAAAAGAGATTTACTGGGGAAAAGGCCTGTGAAGAATAAAGGAGAGAGGAAGCAGAAGTAGGAGGGAATGGTGTTCAGACCATGATGCCTGTCTGATCCTGTGCAAGGGGGGAGGGAAGGAAGGACAACTGCATAGAAGGAACTTCAGCCTGTGGTGCAGCTCCAAAAAAGCCTTTGCCAGGCTGATGGAGAGGCCAGGGCAAAAAGTGCCCATCGAAGAGTTCCACGATGGGTGGAAACGGCCAGGCTTTAGCATCCTAATGCTGTGTTCAGTCATTGGCTGTGAGCATGTCCTTGACAGGAACGCTGCAGCAGATACGAAGGCACAGCAGCTGGAAGTGGTCTGCCAGCTAAACTCCTTACAGGAGATTCTCTTGAGGGGAAGTATGAGTGGCTCAACTTCATGACTGCTACAGGGGTAAGGTATGGAAAAATGTATAGAAAATATTTAAGGAGCAAGGAATTTGAATGGAGGTTTTGGGGGAGACTCATGGAGCAGTGAGATTTCAGCTGGGCTTTGAAGAGTGGTTGTGACTGGCATATTTGACAGAGAAGAGCCTGCCACCCACGATGAAGATGCCTAGAAAGAGCCCATGCATGCACGAGTTACAGGAAATTGTACAAAGAGGAGTTGTTCAGCTCGTGAACTTTCAATTCTTATTTTAGTGTCTTTTCTAACAAGCAAAATATCCTGCCCTGAAGCATCCCTAGACTTACTGCACCAATAGTTTCCACAGGTTCTGTTATAACTCTCAATTGGATTTTCATGATGGTACTTAAATTACTGAAGATCATGATTAGTATTTTGTTGTTTGCAGTTAATTGTGCAGTTGAACATGCTACATTTCTGTAAGGGTGACATCAGAGGGACTATCTCCCCTCGTGGGAGCCCTGTTGAAATTAAACATGAATCATAAACAAAAGAGTCTTTGCTAACACGCAGTTCCCGTCCAGTGACATCTCTTAGAAACCACTGTTTGCGAGGTTGAACTGAAAGCATTGCTCAGATGCTCCATGGAATGAGACCATCAGCATTAACATAGATACAAACTCATCTATTCCAGGCAGCTTTACCTAAGAGGTGACTGAGGAACATCTGAGTATCTGTAACTGTACAGTGACCATTCAAAATAAACGAATAAACACCGGCGTGACTTTAGATATTTTATTGTTGTCCTTCCAGGGGACCACAAGTGTCACTTCATTAGCATGTATTTTCAGGTGAAGCGTCTCAGCTCTCTCCTTATTTTACAGCTGTTTGTGAAAGTGGCTGTCTCAATGGAGGAAGGTGTGTGGCCCCGAATCGATGTGCCTGCACTTACGGATTTACTGGACCCCAGTGTGAAAGAGGTAATGGTTTTTTAAATCATTTGCATAAAGACATGCTGGTACCTAAAGCTGTTATTAATTTGCACAGACGCTGGGTCTGCATGGCTACTTCCTGAATGTTGCTGAGCTTTGAGGGAATTTCTGAATTGTCATTGGGAAGGTCCCTAGGATGACAAGACAGTGGCCCTGAATCTACGCATGATATTCAGCAATGTTTGTCCGTGCAAGTTTACCTAAATTCAGTTATTTGCTAATTTGGTGGTACTCAGTTATAAGCATATACATAATTACCAGCTGGCATCAGGATAAAAAGGGGAGAACTTTCTTCTGGAAGGGTAAGGATTAAGCTCTTTATCATGCCAGTGAATCAGAGAAGTGGTCTCAAACCAACTATATGTATGGAAAGGGAGAAGTTCAGTATGAAACACACACCTGAAAATCTGTTGGACCTGTTGGGGACTGTAGAGGTGTACAAGCTCAGCATTCAGCACTCACCATAGATATATTTAGTGTCTACTGAGAAGCTGCTTTGTGTGGATGGTTTATTCAGTACTCATTGCAGCCTACTACATTGTGTAGAATCATCGTTAATTTTGCATGTGAGAAGATCAAGGCACAAAGAGGTCCAAGGATGTCCCCAAGCCCACATACATAAGAAACCTTTAATTTGAATGTGTGTTTTTCTCTTCAAGTCTAATGTTTACTGCTGCTCTTAATTAAAAGAAACATTCTACCTGATTTGCCTACCTAAAAATGCAAATACGATATTGAGATATATGTGGATATGCAATATTCTTAAGTTTTTTTTCCCTGAACTTTGGTCTCATTAATCGTCATGTCTCTACATTTATAGATTTTTTTCTCATCATCCCTAGTTTTATGATGAAAGTTTAGAAGGTTTATGTTACACAAAACTGTAATTGAAAATTTGCATGAACTTTTAAACTGCAATAATCACTTTTAGCCAAGTTGTATAGACATCTTCTTATTCTAAGATGGAAAGTAAAGATTCAGTAGCAGATGTTGAATATGTCATTTAAAACATATAATAGAGGAAAACAAAGAGCAGAGAGTAGTTTGCGAGAAATTGTTTATTTTCTGTCTATTTTTATAATTTATCTAAATTCAGTTATTTGCTAATAATGCAGTAATACCTATTTGAGCAAGAAACTCCAGGTCGATTACTTTGATTACTAAGTAAATTACATTGTATCTCTATTAATAGGACCACTGCATGGTATTGATGTGTGATGCATAATAGACCTTTACATTGCATGTTGATATCCTTTAACAGTCTCTCCTTAAACTGCTTCTCTTTACAACTTGCACAGATGTATTTTTATTTGCTAATAATTATAATGGTCCAGAGTACTAAAAACTATTTCTACTAGGCAGTATTATTCTGTGGCTTACTACTTCATCAATGAAGTTGTAGGAGATTAAAATTGTTAATGTGTGGCTTAAAGAGTGGTATGTGAAAATAATTTCTCAGTTGATAATGCTGGGCTTAATTTGTTTTAGAAAAATCAGTAATAAGATGAAGTTACAGGGCATTTTACCTGTAACATTTTACCTGTAACCATTTTAACAAAGTGGTTAAAGATTTGCTGCAAAGATGCTCATAGTTCAGATATTGATGATAACACAGTCTAAAATAAAGGGCGCGATATTGAACCATTCCCCAGTGATTTCTTCAAAGATTTGATCTTTGCCCAAGATTAAGAAATGTCCTGAATGGGTTCAATTACTAAGCTACTAATCAAAACTGGCATGTTACTCAGAGATTTCTCCAAGTTTTGGGGTGTCTTCAGCTGCTCCCCTTCAGGAAAAAAGGCTGTCCTGAAATCTGCACTAAGGTGTAAATATCTGTTGGCGCCACAGAATTTTCCCAGTGGTGATTTTCAAAATCAAATTCATCCCTCAGTGGCAGATTTTCAGGCATTTGTGGAAGTGGAGACTGGGGAGCAGAAGGCAGGCTTGCCCGTTAGTAGTAGAAGGGTAGTGCCTTCTACCCACTGCCTGTTTTACGCATGGGCACAGTCCCAGACCTTCAATGGGAGAAGGAAAACATGGGCGTCATTTCCCACAGCACATGGGAGAGGGGAGTCTTTTTGATTCCAGAATTCTATTTCCGTTTGTTGAGTCTTCACTGTTTGCTGCTCTTATGAAAGTCATCTGTTTACCTCTTTGAAGAATTAGAGGCAGTAAATCCTCTTACTTACATGTATGTTTGTGATTTCAAGAGTGATGAATAAAAATCTGGCACCGAGTCGGGACAGATCCATCCTGAAGTGTGGGGAAGTGTTCAGTGTGACTTCTGATGGTGGGTTGCTATCCTTATCGTGGTCCTTATTACTGGATAAGTACCTAGGTTGGTTGTATTCTGTTTTAATTGGGATGTGATGTTTTATTTTTCAAAATGAACATCCGGGAGGCCTTTACTACTTTCCTTTCTCCCTTCATCTACATTTTCCCTTGGTACTGTCTCCACATCTCTTTTTATAGCATTTGCCACATTGCATCAAAACAGTTCACTAGAGCATAAGTTTTCAGGAGAAACTACAGTTTCATCATCTTAATTCTAGCCTTACTGTGTGATGCACAGTACATGACCCATAGATGATGAACTGGATTCATTTAATAGCATCAGAACATCTGGAGCTATAATGATCGGATATGAACAAGTATCTCCTGGAAATAATTGCTGTTTGCCACCAGTCCTGGATATTGGTTTCATTGGTTTCATGCTAAACAGAGCTGATCACAATGTGGATACCTAATTGAATGTGGTCCCATCTTTCAGAAGAATGATCTTTCAGGTCCACAAGACTGTCATTTTTCAGTCAACAGGGATGCAAAAAGGAGGAATGTTTTGATCAAAACTAAGTGGTGACAATAAAAACAAAAGCAAAAACCTCTTATTGTGAGGTTTTTGTGATGTAACACACATGTAAGCGAACATTTAGAATATCAGTTACAAGTGCTTCTCAGGATAAAGATCTTTGTCCCTGGGAGATCTTGGAACTTTTATACATTAGTAACTACCTCGGAGACCCACTGTGAGTGTGAAATACACCTTTGGGGGTCATACTGGCAGGATTTGTATCACATTAAGCCAATAAGTCAATCTTAATCATCCATGACCATAGTATTTTGGTTTGTGATGGAGAAAAACAGCAGATCCATGCTTGAATTATGAATTCTAACAGTCATGTAACAGTGTAATAAGATTATAAAGCAAATTTGTCTTACTTGCAGCTTTTTGCCATTAAGATAAATTTGTTTACAAAAAATTCTTGGCTAGCCAGCCTAATCCCCAGTGGACAGGTAGCAATGACATATTTTACCATTGCCATTACCATTGTTTCTCTACACCCAGAGGATAAAAAAGTAGAGACTTGGCTTATTTGGCCTGTGATGTCTACTTTTTAAAAGCTGAATAGGAATACCTTTAAATACATCTTCTAGTTTGTCGTAGTCCCCACCACTGCCTATTGTCACATCTTGCTCAAGTTCATTCATTTAGCTTATGTATTAGCCCTTGGGAGCATTCAAGTTTACCACCTCCTGCTGCTTTCTCTGTCAAAGATTGTATCTATTTTTTTTTTAACCTCAAGTTTCTTTAATTTTTCTTCCTCTCATTTTTTTTTTGGTAAGTTCACATTTGTGGTTTTCTTATTGCCTCCTACTCCGACCCTTTGCCTTCTCTCTGCTTGGACCTTGAGCAACTGGTAGAACTTAATCACTGTCTTAGCTCAGTGGTACAGTATGTTAGCATTTGTTATCAGATTATTGAAGTGAGATCAGTGCCTGTTTTGGCAATGACAACACAAGCTAGTCGTATATTGCCATAGTTACTGCTAACAAAAAAACTGTGTGGAATCACTTTCTCTTGCCATCTTGCCTCAGAATGCACATTTTAAATCTTGTTAAATGCTCTTGTATTAAACACAGTGAATCATATGAATGGATGACACTTTTCAGGGTCATGACAAAAGAGAGAAGAATAATGGAGATAGACCTGAACTTGGAGATGGGGATGGAGTGTGTTGATGAATAGGCTTAGGGAAGAAGAGAAACAAAGAGACACAGCAAGAGAACCAGGAGAGCACTGAGCCAAAGAAACAAAAAGGAGTTCAAGAAATAACTTGGCAATTGTTAGACTCATTGAAGGTCTGAGAATGAGAATCATAAAGAGGCCATCGGACGTAAGAACAGTTGACATGTACTGAGTACTTGCAGTGTGCAAGGCAGTGTGCTAAGCACTTCACTTTGATGATTTGCAACAACTTTGTGAGAAAAATCCTGTAAGAAGTCCCATTTTATAGAGGAATAAGCAGAGGCAAAGAGAGATCAGTGCCTTGTCCAAGAAGGGACAGCTTATAAGTGGTAAAATAAAGGCCTGAACCTAGACATTCTGGCTCCTAAGCCTGTGCACACAACCAAGTACTGGGTAGTACTTGGACTTCACTGGAAAGGGGTCACTCGTAGCTCTAAAGACTTTTGTGAGGAATGGTAAGAAGAAACCTAGAACTATGAATTTTAGAATGGAAGTCAAGATGAAAAGCCAGAAGAAAGAATCCTTGCATATTCCTGGATGTTTCAAATGTAGGGTTTTGGAATATTCCTCTATTTGATTGATTTCAATGTACGAATCTGCTCTTGGAAAGAGAGAGGTTCCTGTGTGTTTACAGGACATATAAATGTGCTCCAAAGGACTGAACTAACAAGCCTGGAAGTAGACATACGGAATGAATATTGTCATTTAGTACAGTTATCATGGAAAGTTATGTAGTTTTCTTGTAATATTACAACTGCTCAAAATGTGTTTGGAACCCTTTTTTGGAGTTGCCTTTACAGAATCAGCATACATTCAAACCAGTGTGTGATATTTTTTTCCTTTTGAGGAGGCAATTTGAGTTCTTAGAAACAACCTGCAATAATTTGCTGTTAATTCTATTGACTACAGTAGATAATCACACATTCTAGCTGTTTGAGATCAAAAGCAGACTTAGATTTAA